TTGACGATTAATTTTAGAAAGATTAAATAGATTTCGTTACAATGACGATTGATATAAACTAGATTAATCGAAGATCGTTTAATTAACAATTAATATGATCGAAGTCAATTAAAGATTATTTAATTGACAATTGATATAAACGAAATTAATCGGAGAACGATCGATTAACAATAATACAAGCTAATTTAATTAAAAGTTTTTAATTAACGATGATATGAGTTAATTTTAATTAGATGTACTGTAATTGACGATTGAAAAAAACAGATTCAATCGAAGACAATTCAATTGACAATGATTTGAGTAGAAACATTAAAAAATATTTAATTGACGATTAAATATAGCAAATTTAATGCAAATCTCTTCCATTAATGATTGACTTAGAAAACGATATAATTTCTTTATTTCCATTAATTAACATGTGTAACGATTAATACAATTTAAATTTTAATCGAAGATGTTTGATTGATGATATTAATATGACTGAATTTCAATAATATATATCTGTTCCTTGGTTCTAGCAAAGTTATTGTACGTAATAGTTACAATATAAATAATAAATAATTTACGTTTTTTAAACCATATTTTTATTCAGAACATTTTCAATTCTCTCTCTCTCTCTCATTATACATTTTATTATATTTAATTTAATTATATTTAATGTTAATATATATTTCTCGAATTTTTTTTCATTTGTTCTAAAATAATAAATGTATAATATGTTATAATAAAATGTGTTGTACATATATATATATACAATATATATTATAATTCAAAATTATTAATCAAATGTAAAATTGCAGGAAGTTTGGTAATACAACGAAGTGTAACCATACAGTTTCCTTCTGGAGAACATTTCTGCATTCAACTAGGTAACCATTTCACAATGTTTTTACATTATACATTCAAATTTTTTATTTATTATAAATAAATTATTAGAGAGAAAGATGAAAAATATTGAATAACATAATTAGAATACGCTGTATATAAATATTTATTTAATGGTCTTGTTTTAAAATTGTTATTATTTTAAATGCTTAGAATGTATATATTTTGTTATTATGTATTTATTTATATATTTATATTTTTTTATATTGAAAAGATTCATTTTCGTTTTCCTTTTTTTAAATTAATAAATTTATTAAATATTTGTTTGCCAATTAAACAAAATGTAATCGTACACCAGCAATTACTTTCAAAATTATTTTTCTTGTGTGTGAATAGTTTCATATAATATCTGGATTGCAAATATATATTGTTAATAATAATAGTTTTGTTGCATATCTATTATGCATATAATTTGGAAATAATAATTTAATAATTAAAATTGCAAACAGACTAATATATTCACATATTTATATTTATTATATTATATCTGCACATATTCATATTGATGAGATAATTGTTTATTATATAAAATCATGTGCGTGATAATTAAATATTTTCTATGCAATCAAATAATAAGGAATATAATGATTTA